CTAAAATGCATGGCAAATGAAAATAGAAGTACATTAATTTATGAATAAAGTTTTATTTAATAAACATAGAAGAATGTCAGCATATTTTACAGTCGAAGGTTTATAGTGTTGTCTTTAAAAATATTATCAGTAGAAGTTGTAGGTAGATTAAATCTGCCTTTTGGGAGCAGGGTGTTTTCATAAAAGTCATGAAGATAGTTGTGCAATATGCCTTGGTTAGGCTCATTTCTGTAGGATTTACACCAGTAATGAGAGTCATCACCTATAACATTGCTATTTAAACAAATTTTGACACAGCTAAGGGTGGAGGGGGAGCTATAAATATCCCACAGTAGATGGTGTTGATATATTTAACTTCAGTACTTGCTCCTTTAAGTTTGTGATGCTGTATTTCATTCAGCAGCTGTAGTTCCTTGCTGGTGAAGCTGTGTCCCCAAGCATGAAAGGATGGCAGAGGGACACTGGGAGCTGCTGAGGTCCCCCCCCCCCAGCACACTGGTGCTGAGCCAAGCCTGGCTCTCAGGTTATCAGTGCCTGGTTTCCAAGGCACTGCTGGCACTGATAGAGGCTTCTGCTGGCACTGATAGGAGGCTTACCTCTACTTAAATTCATTGAAATAATGAATACTTTTGTTGTTCTTGTTGCTTTTTATTGCCTTGATCAAGTTAAAAGAGCTTGTGGATTGAAGTGGAAAGTGTTTAGTTTCAAATTTGGAGTGATGAGTGAATTAACTCAGCTGAAGGTAGCTGTGAGTGAGGAAGTAGGTTTTTGAAGGGAAAGGAAGTCTTGGCTGGGAGATGATTCACCCAAACAGAAGTACTAGAGAAAATTTTGTCGCTAGTTAATACCCTCATTTTTGGCCATCGTGGTCTTGCATATAAACCCATAACACATGTCCAGGGCTTGAGGAGTGATGTGGTTTTGGTTCTGCTCAAGGCTGGTTAGCAAATCAACCCAGACTTTGTTCTGGCATGGCCTAGAGCAGGACAGGCTCTGAATGGGGGAAGAGCTGGAGACACATCAAAGGGGGACACCATAGCTGTTGTTCTTATTGCTTCCTGCACAGATCTCTGAAAAGCCTGCTTTCCATTCCTTCAGAAAACCTTTAACCATTTAGTAAACATACTTTATTTTAGTAAGTTCTTCTATGCCCTAATAAAATACTTTTTGTCTGTAGCTTGAACTCTTGCCTGGGGTGTGGGCTTTGCTTAGTAGGAGTATTCAAACTATCCTTAAAGAAAATATTTTCTAAAGATTATAATTAGCTACTTCATTTATATTTATATTATAGATATGTATAAATAAATTTGCTGTCCGCTTTCAGTCTTTGAAAAGACTTCTAAAAGACAAGTCACACTTTGATTTGGATATCAGACTATATAATTGGAACACTGCTTAGTTTTGGCACTAACTTCCTGAGAAGTGAAGGAGTGGAATTTCTTAGTTATTGAGTTGTTTATATAAACTTTTTCTCTGGGGAGAAAATGGAGATTTTCACCTCAAATAAAATTCTTACGTGTGATAGTTGACCAGCTCTAGTAGATTTTTTAAATAATTAGGGCTTGTCTTTTACTGATGTACTCTGAAGCACAGTAATTGCAGGAGTGAGAAGTTTTCTATGTGTTTTTGCCTTTTGAATTAGGCCGTGTGAATTTCTGAGAAAGATTTCACATGATCTGGCTGCCACTGGTTCCCCCCAAACCCCATTTTGTCCATCCTTGTGTTATCAGCTCCCAAGTAAGTCTGTCCAGCCAAATGCAAACACACACTGTAGCTGAGTGGATAACTTGCAGGACATGTGTTGTGCCAATCTTGAACAGCTGATGCTTGGGGTTTTTTAGGGCTCTAGGAATGTGATATTTTCAATATCAGCCAGTGTCAACACTGATAATATACAATGCAGCTGGCATTAAAAGAAATGGGGTAGGGTGTGGTGTGACACTCCAGAACAGACAGGTAACTGAAAGAGTGAAGCAACAGAGGAGCAAAAGGCACTGAGGGAGGACAAGCTATGTGTTTTCTTCCTTCCCCAGCTTGCCAGTTATGCTTTCACAGGGTTGTGCAACTCAGATTGGTTTGGCTTTTGAACAGAGATTTAAGGTAACCAATTGATTAAGACTAAAGAAATTAATGAGTTTGATAAACTGTAACTCTGGTTGTGGTTTAAAAGGATGATGTTAGGGATGCTTGATTTGGTTCAAGCACTCCCCAGCAGTCTGATGTTGATGTTCTGATGTTGATGCCACTGTAATTGTCTGTGTGACTGCATGAAGAGCCAGGTCTGGCTGTCATCTAGCTGGTGGAAATGCTTAATGCAGGCTTTAAATTGCATTGTCCATCTCTCACCACTCAGCTGCCTGAACTGTCATAGAGGAAGGGTGATGCGAAGGTGAGAATAAGCTGAAAAACAGAAAGCACTGAAACTGAAATGGCTGCTGAACAAATTAGTATGAAATTATATCCTCTGTCTGTCAGAATGTGCTGCAGAGTGCACCATCTGTGCTTTTTTAGAAAAAGAGAGATGTTAGGTTTTCTTTTAAATTCAGAATGAATAGACCATTCAGCCTCATCTCTCGTTTGGCTTATATTGGCTTCTGAAGATAAAGTGATCCTGTAGGAGGATCAGAGTTCTTTTCCAGGCAGTATTTGAGTATTTCTCATGGGGGTTGATGTTTCTGAGGTACCTTAAAGTGTTCAAAAACTTTTGAGAGAGGTTTTTATTAGCTAGTTCCTGTTTATTTAATATTCCACCTGTCCTGCTACCCAGTCAGTTGTATTTTAGCAATAAAGTGGTAGTCCTGGCTTGCTGTAATAAGCCTTCTAGGATAAAAAATACTTTTCCACCTGGCATGTACCTTTAACTTTCTAATGTTCATTAGCTGGGTGCTGCAGAGGGAAATTTCTTGAGAAAACAGGATGGATCACTTGGGAGCTGGACTTTCCTTTCTTGAAAGCCTTTGGTATCCTCAGGTTGCCTTTCCTTAAGGCAAAAATGTGTAAGAAGTACTGGAACCACCAGGTTAATTGTGAGCAGATGATTTTCTTCTGTCTCCTGTGTGCCTGTCTATGGAAGAAGCCCATCACTGGAGTAGGCTGGCCAAACTAAAGCTGGCTGGGCTTGCTCATGTTCACCCTGTGCAGGATTGATGGATAACGTGGTTTTCTGAAGTGCAGTGCTCTGGAACAGAGTTTGAGGCTACAAGAACAGGTTTTCTCATAGCTAGGTGTGTTGGAATAGCTAGTGCAGATGAAGCAAGTAGAAAGGTTGGAGAGTGGTGGTCTGCATCCAGCCAGTGCAGCATGGTAATAGCTTCTTCAACAAAACCTGTTAAATACTCTTAAAGATTAAATTGGTGGAAGCTGGAACTTTTCATTTCTATTGCATTTCCAGTACAAAATAGTTCTGGTTGGTATATAGACACATTGTGACAATTTCTTTTTATTTCTGTTATTTGTTATTAACTTTCAGGTCGGTGTGTTTCATTCGGAGGAACAGGAGGGGAATTTCATCACATATCTGATACTTAAAGTGTTGCTTGTATTTTGCAGCTCAAGCTGTGAGCCTTGTCTTACTGCAAGTGTCCTGTTGGGCATGGCAAGCAGCAGTGCTGGTGTTTATAGCACCTTTAACTGCTGCTGGATTGTGGACTTGTGAAAGTCCATGAAAGGCTGCAGCCTGGTGCAGGCAGCAAATAGCCCAGCTGCCTGGGAGCTGCAGTCATGGCTTAATGGGTATTGAAGCTTTCCACCTGTCACACAGGGGAGAGGAGAGGCACACACGTCCTGTGTGTCTTAGGGAGGTTCTAAAGCAGAAAAGTTTTCCAGATGAGCCATGTGGCAGACGTTTCTACTTAATGATCGTCTAACTGCGATGATAAATCAATAATTAAATTTTTTGCATTTAAAATACTCTAGGTTTTATACCTGGAGGTATCTCTTGGAGATATTTCAAGCAAAAATAGTGCATCCTAAGCAACATCAAGCCATTCGGTATAAGGGCCTATTGCTTGCTGAAAGAGTAGCTAAGGAAGACACCACCTCTGTTGTACACTGCCTGCTTTCATCCTCTACAATTAAGTCCCATTACTTTTCGTAATTGTAGGGTACTTAGCTAGTGTACACTTTTATAATTTTCACTATTAAATATCACCATGGACACAATACTGTGGCATTCTGAGGAAATGAACATTTTTGTAGGGTTTTTAAGCAAGGTACTGGTTTGCTGTGTCTCAAGCAAATTGCCTGTCCTTGATGTGTCAGTGTATCACACATAATCTTTTTATGTGTTTGGGTGACTTTGACAAATTCAGATGGGAAAAAATTTTGTGTTTTGATATTTGAGATGGGGAAGATCTCATTATGATTCCATAACTCTAACTAGTTTGGTGGAGTATCAGTTGGAAATCACTGCTTTACTTTTGGATGTTTCCAAAACTTGATGCTTTAATTTATTTTAATTCTTGTTTCTTATAAATTCCATAATCTTGAGCATAGCTGTAGTCTAAATAATTTCCTGGATTACTGCCTGACAGCAGCAATGCATTCATGGTCTCCTGTATTCCATTCCACACTTTGTCATTCTTCACTTATTTTTTCACAGTTTTGTCCTGTAAATACATTTGTGATTAAAATGGCAAAACTTTTTTTTTTCTAGAATGCTGATCTCACATAGACAATTACTTGGAAGTTGTATGATTCAGAATTTCCCATCAGTAAAGACTGAAGATGATTTTGCATGACCTTTCCTTTTGCATCTCTTGTGCTTAGCAGAATTCACAGTTTGGACATCTGTTACATGCCCCCATTCTTTTGGACACAATACTTATCTATGCAAAAACGGTTTTTGATCCAAGTTAATGACCTGAAATCTGAGTAAATTTTGTGTGCCCTGTAGAAACATGCTTTATCTTCCTTCTCTCAATGTGGTGGTATGGTTCTGATGGTTTTTCTCCTGTTCTTCTGTTTTTTTCCCTTTTTCCTTTTTTCTCCCCCTTTTCCAGTGTTTTATTTAGGTGAGTGTTTTAATTTTTTGAGCCTTTCCTGCTCCTCCAAGAGTATTTGTTTATTGTTTTAAGAAAAAATCAGACTTGGAGTGCTTTTCAAAGCTTTTGGCAAATTCCATCATATAGAAAGTTTGTTTTGCATTTCTGTGAGACCTTTCCATCTATGTGAAATAAACTCATTCTGCAGATGCGTGAGGTAGCATTGTACATGCGTGAGGTTGCAGTTTTTATTTGCTGCATTATGTTGTTGAGCTTGTTTGGCTTAAAAAGCAGAAGTGAGCACTTCTTAACATGTTGTGTAATGGCTGGCCTTTTTTGTGCTTTTTTTTTGCATAATAAAAATTCAAATCATTAATTTGTGATCTGTCTTTGCTCTTAGGTCCTACATTGCCTCGACAGAATTCACAGCTTCCCTCTCAAGTACAAAATGGTCCATCACAAGAAGAAATGGAAATCCAGAGAAGGTATGGTATTAAAAGTGTTGAACTGAACAGCTGTTCAGTTCAAGGAAGTGATAACTCCTAATGAGGAGAAAATAAATGTCAAGGGCTTCGGATTGCTCTCCTCCATGAGGGCAGCTTTTGTATGTGCACAGTTTTCATTAGTGCCACTCTGTAAAAGCTTTGTTGCTGGCTCCCTTGTTCATGCTCTCCACCCATTCAAACAATGCAATTGGAATTGGCATGCCAGGAGAGAGTTGAAGATCAGAGGGGAAGCCTTGGGAGATTTCACTGTTGTCATTTTCAGCCAAGCTAATTAATTTTCCAGTGACTGTTGTGCATTCTGTTTTTGACACTGAAAAAATCAGCAAGTGAGGAAGGAAGTTTTAGAAGGAAAGAACTGAGTCATCATGAATGACAGGGTTTTTGTCCTGAATGTGGATGTACTAGATCAGAACATTCTATTGGAAATCTTGTTTGCCTTTACACTGTATTTTTTAGCAAAAAAACCTTAATGTATAAATTGACGGAGCCTTTAACAGTTTGGTTTTCAGCTGGAGCAGTGCTGGTTATACCTGTGCTGCCCTCAGTGACTGGTCTGTGTTCCCCTGGCCAGTTCCTCCAAGTTAAGCTGTTCCATTCCATTTCTATCCCTGTGGGATATTTTTTCAGACCCATAGCATTTTGACTATATGGAGTTTTTTCCCATTCCTTATAATAATCCTTATGTATTGATGAAGTGCCTGATTTCTACAAACTCTGTGGTTGCCAGATTTCCACTTCTGTTTCAAGGCAATGTGGGATGGTGCTGTGGGGTGAGTGTCTGGGTTATGGGTGTATGACATGGCAAAGGCTTGTAGGACAGTGCTGTCACACTGGGGTAAATGAAAGCAGTAAGACCTTGGGCTGTCCCAAGCACACTGCCTGTGGTGCAATCCTGGATTATTTTACCATCAAAATATTCCCAGGAGATTAGCTGTTCCCTTCCTGAAGAGATGCTGGGAGCGATTTTGGTCACATGCAGGACAGATACGGGGAACAGGAGCCTTGAATAAATGGGAGGTGGTTCAGACTGATGGTGTAAATGCACCTAATAGCTTTTTGTGGTGACTGGAAGAATGCTTAAACATGTTGGGTCTAATTAGCACTGAAGTTTTTTCTGTTTTGCTATTCAGCATTTAGTGTGTATATGAAAAGATGAGCAGAACCATATTGCCAATTTAGGAATAATTCATTTGATAAACAAGCTATATAAGATGAACAAAGGGTTGACATCAAAATTGGCATCATACTTGTCTGTCTCTTTTCTTCTGTGTCTTCTTAAATCTGAGCAGGAATCACTTTATCTGACAGTTACCTTGTTTAAAAACAAATAGCAAGAACCTCATTACAAATTTGTCTGTTTGATGTGTTTATGTGCAAGTTTGCTGTCATGATACAAGTATTCTATGTCACTTCTTTTGACAGACTTTTAAAAAGCCTTTTTTCTTTTGAATTTTTTTTTCTGTCCTACATTAGTGGCTTTTAGTATTTCTATTTACTGTCTGTTCCTTTATGAAGCTGCATTATCTGAAATTTATAATGCTGAAATACTTTTGAGAGAAGCACTGTAGAGTGGCATCTCCTCAGAAAAAAGTGCTGCCCTATATTAAGAGCTCTGAGAGTCTCCTGAAATTATTGGTATGTGAAGGATATCCTATCAGATGGCATTCTTATGGCTTGGCTTTTTTGATCAGTGTGCTCGACTTGTTTCCATTTAATGCAATGTCCCCTTTGAGGTCTGTTTCTGCGTTTGTTTTGTTTTTCCCTGAAACAAGGATGGAACACTGGAATGAGTGTTTACTCATGCTGCTAGACAGATTGTCTGTGGAAGGACTATTGCTGTTGTCTCATTTAGCTTAAGAAGAACATGTAATTTTGTTAAAACATTTCACAAATGCTTCTTCAGTGTCATTACTCCTGTAACTATGTGGTTGTAATAAAGTTCAATTAACTCTAAGCTAGAACTTCTGTTCTGTAGTAACTATCTTGCAGCTTTCAGACTCTAAGAACAAGAGTTACTACCATAATGTAGAGAGTAGTAAATAGATGTGAAGAAAAGGTTTAAGTATATATTACTTTTAACATATCTCCAAGTGACATTTCCAATCTCAGTAAAGGGTAAAAGCAGTGTGGGCAGACTTGAATCCTGTGGGGAGCAGTAAGACTACAGGGAATGCAAGAAATGGGAATAAATGTTACTGCGTGGGAAGGAACATGGGGTTTGTGATGGATCAGGAGAAAGGCTGTGCCAAGTCTGTGGCTTGTGGAATGTGTGTCTGTTGGGTGGGGGTTTTCTTTAAAGTGTGGCTTGATAATAGTTGTCTTTGAGTTCTGTTCTCTTATCCCTTCTCTTAGGTGTGCCTGGATTTAGTAGTGTGTAACTGACTCCTGTATTAAGTGCAGGAAAATGTTTTTTAAATTATTCTAAACTGGAGAAAAATATCTGCTTGCATGAAAATTAAAGGGACTCTGTGGAGGTCTAGTGTAACCCTCTGCTCAGAGAAGGACTAATTTCAAAGTTAAATTATGTGGCTTGGAGCTTCAGGGTTTTCCTAGGCAGAAATAGAAACATTTCTTCAGAAGTATTTTGCCAAAGGACTGACCAGTGAAGAGTGGCATAATAAAGAGAGCTCTTCAACGGGTCTGATGTTTTCCTGTGCTTTCATAACCAGTGTTCAGGAATCTTGGGAAAATTGGGAATTGAAGAGTGAAATTAGTTCATTGCCAGCAGAAGTACATTATTTTGGTTCAGAGATTTTTCTCTATTTAAGAAAGAATTTAGATGCCCTTACATTTTGGGTAAAACTACTTTGTTTATTTTGCTGCAGAGCTTTGTACTTGAATATTTGTATTGCTTACTGGACAGCGATACAATTTCTAAGGCTGCTTGGACCAGATGTGCCATCTGAAACGCTGATGTTTTTATGTGGCCAAGATTACACATAAGGTGTAATGAAGTAATTTTTTCTGGTGAATTAGTAACTATGTTACTGTCTTTTAAGAAACGTTAACACATGGTGGATGCTTTCCCTCTCAGGGAGTACTTGAAGCTAGCTGTAATTTTCCTTAATTTGCACTCACTTCAGTACAGTAATAGCAATCTTTAAAACACTCCAGCTTCCATTTTTGATCCTCAAAACTGAAGGGATATTTTGTTCTGTGGGTTGTTTTTTATTTTGTCAGAATGGTGGCCGGGCAGTGTTTATAAATTCCACTGATGGATAATAAGCCAGTTTCAGTTGACATACATATTTGTTAATAACTGCAGGGTTACCTAATGCCAAAGACAATTTTAAAATACAAGATTAGTTCATGGCGTGCCTGTGTGTGCTACTCTTGCATGTAAATTTACCTTCTCTCCCAGCCGTGGTAAATACATTGTCCGGAATATGAGTCACTGAGTTGGTATCTAATATGACACTTGGGAATTTAATGAGTTAATGTTTATAAATAACTTCAAAATGGTCACTGCTTCATAAATAAAGAGACCAGGAGCTCCAGGAACAGAGGAACTGTACAGATAGTAAGGAATGATGAGGGTGTACAAGCCCCCTACTGTCCTTCAGGGACGGCATGGACCAAAACTTGACCGAATTCTTTTGTAAGTACTCGAAAACATTACAAGTTTGTAAGATGCAACAGCAGAATATTAGGAGGCATTATAATTATTAAATATTTTATTTATTTGTTGGTTTAGTTTGGTTTGTGATGATACTGTTGAAGAAAACACAGGCTGTGTGCCTGTGCTAGAATTTAGTATTGATATGGTATGATTTTTGTAACATTGTGGAAGGATTCTTAGTTGTAGTGCAAGTTCAGAGACTTTCAAATGTTTCATATTTACTAAGAGACTTGAAGGCAAGATTTTTATTTTACAGATTAAAGCATTTTTTTCTGAATTTGGTTAATCTTATTTTTTAACTACAGTAAAAATAAAAACCACAACCCTTGTAAATTAGTGATTATTACATACTCCTGAGCTGTTTTGAAAACATATATAGAAATGCTAAGAGAAAAAATCCTGCGATTCAGTATCAGTGTAGCTATTGTAGTTTAAAGGAATAAAAGTTTGCTCGTGGCTGTGTGTCTCTGGTAGCCTTGTTTCTACTGATTTCCCACAGCCTGTAACTTTTCCCTAGTTAGTGGCCAGATACACAACTTCCAGCTTTCCTTTGCTTCTGAAATTGTGCCATTTATCCAACAGCTTCTTTCAAGGAAGTAGGATTTCTTTGAAAGGCATATGGATTGATTAAGTTATAACTGAGCACACAGCTCTAATTTGAGATACACATGAATATGATGGAGTTGTTAGCTTTTTGGTTTAGGGTTTGAGAGGCCAGTAGAATCCACTCATATGATTGTATTGTTTGTAGCTGTGCATAGACATGGTTTAGGTGGAATTAAAAGGGACTTTTTCCTTTTTCTTAAATTTCTTTCTTAGCCTGTGTCCTTTTCTTTCCATTTGTAGTGAAGTTTTCAGAGACTTACCTGGCTTTATGGGTAGCTGTAATAGGTTCTGTGTGGTTACAGCATAATTGTAGATGCTGCTAACATTGATCTATTCAGAAGACTGAGAAAACCACTCTTCCATTAAGTATTCTGATGACATCAGTAGAATTGCCTTGAAATCTTTCAGTTCTGTGGGCTTTTTTTCTTTTTAATGCAGAGCATGAAATTGGAGTTGAAAGTTGTTCTACATTTTTCCAGATTTTGGTTATTGTGGTTCCCTTTTATGAAATTGTGTTCCAGTTGTACTCTCTGGAATACACTACTGAGAGGGAGTTGCTAATGAAAGTAGGTTTTTCTGCTGCTGAGATTCTTCTTTTTTAAAATTCCATGAGTAGAGGTGTCTTTCTGTGATCTAGCTTTTGCCAGGAAAGCTCAAGTTCTGTTAGTTTGAGATAATATATTGAAAAGATGGAAATGAGGACAATTAGGCTTAATGAGGTTTGATCCAAGAGCATTAATAGATCACTTAGTCT